AGCACACTTCACATGCACACTACAACGTCTGAAAATCGAGACAGGGCAGGCATTGCAGCTAAGACCCACAATTATCCTATGCCGCTACTAGGATTCACTGGCCTCATAACACAAGGTAGCCATGATCAGTGGACCGTTTCCAAGGTCACCTTATTCCACCCAGGTAACACTAACACTTCTGGCAAGTCAAAGTAGGCTGGGGACATCTCACACTCTTAACTGTCTCTCATGGCTGGCAGGACATCCCCGCATACCGTTCGTACAGGTTGACCAGCAAGGCAGGATACACCTCCATACCACCCTTGATAGCAGGCTGGTCCCAGCAGCTGGAGTCCATCTCCGCGGCTCGCGCCCTTCCACATCTCTGAGGATGGCAGCTCCTTCATAGCAGACTCTTATCCTGGCACACCAGCCAGAATCCCCCATACACCACTGCAGCATCACTGCCATCGTCTCCTCTTGAGCTAGGCAGCATCACAGCATGGCCACAGCATGGTCACAGCATAGCAGCACTGCTACAGCATCCCAGCATAGCCACAGCATCTCAGCACGGCCACAGCATCGCAGCATGGCCGCAGCACTGCAGACAGCATCACAGCAGCCGACATCAGCAGTGGCAGGCTATGGTCAGTTGCTCGAGGTGAGGTGAGGTCACTTCAGGTCATCAACAGCAGGTGCGGTCACCCATCCCTGGCAACTGCGGGTAACTGGCGGTCCGCAGGTGATGGTCACAGAGGCTGGGTGACGCAGACAGACACCCACTACACTGGATGACAGACCAGGGCAGCAATACATCTAATGGGGCACATCAGCTGGGTGACTGGGCATATCAGCTGGGTGACTGGGCACATCAGGTGGACAGCAATCATAGGCAACTCTTCAATGGGTGACAGTTGTGGGTGAGTCTTCCAAGGCGGGCTGGGTGACTTCTCATTCCTCTGTAAATATTCAATTTCGGCCAGTAATTGCTTCCCCCAAAAGTCTCACCCAAATACTGATATTCTCCACCATTTATCTCAAACCAACAACCAACTCCACCAAATATAATATTACACCCAAACAATTACTCAGACCCACCGTCTGAAAAAAGGTCAGTTAAGGTCACTAGGTTTATAATATCACACTGATATTTACTTTAACTTTACACACACAAGAAAAGAAAATGATATCATAAGTATAACCGAGCAGTCAAAAGTAAGGCACATGGGACTGGTTCCTACTATAAAAATAATAAGAACCACCACCGCTTAGACACCATGTCATGTAGGGGGGTAATGATTGTAAGGCATAATCAGGGAATATGGGGGTAAGCGGAGGGAGTCAGTAGGTAGGGGACAGGCGAGGCAGTAGGAGGGAGGAGTGCGGAGGTCGGTAGGTAATGTGAGGTCACTGGTGACTACAACTTCACCTCTCATTACTCTACCCACCACTCCACACTACTCACCCTCTCACTACTTTAACTGAAATAAACTAATGAAAAATAACGGGGACAGTGAATATTACTATTCTACTCAAACGCAGTTTATTATTAAGTCTTTGTACAATAATATATTTGGGAACAGAACATTATTGTGGTTTAGACAAATGGGGTGGTACACATAAGCAGTGAGACAGGGAACACAATCAACTTGACGAAAATGAATATAACTTACAATATAATACAGAGGACAGTTCACTACAGGAACTAAGCCACAGGTCCCAAGACCTACACAGCACATGTACTGCTCCAAGCCAGCACTCTGCCCAATGTCTCCAACAGTCTCTCCTCCCGAGACTCTCCAGCTCAGCTCTGCTCCCAGGCCAGAGCTCTGCCAGAATCTGTCTGCTCAGCTGTTCCTTGGGCTTATAGTGTCCCTAGAGCACCCCCCACAATGAGGTGTGCACACGTGGTGTTGATCTGACGCCGTCCAGAACAAAAGACCTGTCTTAAGCCGAAAAGGCGTGGCTCTGACAAACATCTCCCAAGGCAAGGTGTGACCATATAATTGGTTAAATTAGGTCTCCCCAGAGACCTCACAAGCCCAGCTGAACTACATCACAGAGTTCACGGCTGTTGAAAGTTAATCGAGCCACATTGCAAGGGTATCGTCTCCGCCCGCGGGCAAGAAGGACATAAGTATCTACTTTAAGGATTGGGAGATCCTGGAGTTCCAGCTGTTCAAGAACGTCGGTCTGGAAATTCTGTTGGACTATGGTATGGGGCAGAATGACAGTACCACTACAAGAATTGAGAGAAAGATGTTTTTCAATAGTGATAAGAGTAGTATCGATATGAGAAAGGAGAGAAAGATCATGAGCTTGGGTAGCATTCTGGACAGTGACAATGCTCGTACCGCTTTTGAGAGCATGAAATGAAATATCTCTACCAACATGGCGTAGGAGCACTTTGCCAATACTAAGGTCGGAAAGATAGGCAGTAGAAGTCAGTCTTAAAGTAAAGAATTTAGTCCATTGTGTGGTCCGAAACTGAGCGTGGAGAGGGAGTGCATGACGTGTCGGTCTTTTCCGAGTAGAATGGGAAGGTAATGGAGTAACATCATCAGGAGATTGTCGTTGCCGTTTAGAAGTGGGACCAGAGTTGGTCCGACGCGGGACAGGCTGGCAATTCGAAAATTGCCACACCGTCGAGGGGGAGAGGGAGAGGCCGGAAGCATAGTCAAAGGAGAGCGGTCAGACAAAACGAAGGAGTCAGTCGAAACCCTGGCACCTGAAGCGGGTGACGAAACAGCACCAGCAAGAGGTACAGGGGTCTTAGGAGTGACCAAAGAGTGGTCAAAAGACGAGGTGAGGTCAGACCGGGGTGCGGTAACAAGAAGGGGCCTGGAGGTAGCAGGGTCATGGATCGGGAACTCCATGGTTAGGTTACTTCTTTCTTTTTGTTTTTAAGAAAAAAAAAGAAAGAAAAAAAAGAATAAAAAAAGGGGAGACCAGGGAGGAATAGTTCCTAGGAGGAATGAAAGGGCCAGGAATCTCCCTCCGCGCCTAAGAGGACCTCAGCACCGCAAGTAGTGCAGATGCAGCATGGAACCCGTGCCATACCCTACCCTTCAAGCCAGTAAACCAGCAATCCGGGATAGCAACCTCACATCTGCCAAGCTACCTCGGTGGACAAAAGAGAGGGCGGCCGGATATCCGCCACAAAGCATACCTCCTTTGGCCACCTCCCCCGGAATCTGAAAGGTGGCTTCGAGAGATACACCCGTCGCCCAAAAGACACCCAAAGCCACCCTCCGGGATACCGGAGAGGGTTCGGGACATCCCCAGGTGATCCAGATTCCACGGCAAACTATACCACCGACAAGAACCTCAACGGAATGGGATGGACCCCGATACCCTTTCCCCTACCTAGGAACTAGTGCGCCTGTGGGAAAAATCCCAAAGGCCAAAAAGAGGAAGAGTAAAAGGGAGGGGCGAGGAAGAGGAGGAGGAAGAGGAGGAGGAAGAGGAGGAGGAAGAGGAGGAGGAAAGGAAAAAAAGGAGGATGGGGAGGATGGGATAGGGAAGGGTGGTAATTAGGTTCGGTCTGAGGAAGGAGACCAACAGGTCTAATTCCTCAGACCAAGAGCCTCTTCACCAAGCCAAGGAGCCCCCCTTGAAGAGGTGTCCACACAAGATTAATAAGCATCATCCAACTGGTTATATTTCTATACACCAGAGGTTACCATGGGCTCCACTATGACCACAAATGTACAGAAATACACTCAGTTGGATGAATCTTATTTAAGCTTGCACAGTGAAGTAGTCAGAGCACTTTCTTGATAGTTTTAGAACTTGCTTGCCATGGATTTGCGTCCTGCCTGTTCCCCAAGTTATTTACAACCGTGTTATTAAGGGTTATTTACACACTAATTTAAGGTTTACTGGTTATATTTTATTTTAATTTATCAGTATCAGCTTTACTGTAATTAATTTTACTCGTAGTGCTGTCATTCTTAATACTTATTATATTTATTGCTGTCATACACTTTGACTAATATTAATTCTGAAATCCGAGTAGTGCAAGTATAGGCATGTTCAAATCAAAGAAAAACCACAATAAAAATATGGTATCTTTCTCTTATTCAGACAAAAACCATTCCAATTCAGAAATTTTCTGAATGCAATTCCTGAATTTTTTTTTTTAAATTTATGAAATTCAGAGACCATCTCAAATTCAAAATTTTAAAAGCCATTCTCTCTTATTAAAAATAACTCAAGTAAGAGATTTTCTATTCTGAGGTTGGAAACTTTACTCTTATTCAGAAAATTCAAAATCTTAAGATAATTCAGATTTTTTTTTTTTTTATAGTTTAGAATTCTGAATAAAATACACTGTACTATATATGCCTAGTATTTAAACAATTAAAAAATTTCACTTATAAGCCAGGCAGTAAACCTAAGCATCTCAAAACACAAACACTGACTAGTAGATCTTTGTCACACTACCTCCTACCTATGCATCATAGCATACCAATATTGACATGTTTTTATTTGTACATTCAGCAGGATTTGTGCATCTTTCTGGCATCTTCATTGTTTTTTGTCCATTTCTTTTATGACCAGCTGGGTGTCTTGCCAAGATATCAAGTAGGCAGTCTGGTCTCTATATCATGAAGGCATTCCTGGATTTAGTGAATTTGTAATAACCGTGATATGCAGGGACCAGACCAGCTGGTTGTGAAACAACAAATGCCAGCTTTTTTCCTTTCACTTCCCCACCTGTGTCTGTTTTGAGGTATTCATAATTCTTTCCATTTAATTTGGTTTATCAGGTGAAACATCGTTCTTCTTATAACGTGCAAGAAACGAATTTTTGGATTTTTGCACTTTGTTGTAAGTGTTCTTAATGGATTTGAACAATTAAATAGTATTCAAGATATTTTGTGGAAGATTTTTATCTGCAATTGCAGAATTCCACTACATATTTATAGGCAAAGTCAACAACATTTTCCAAACTGCTAGATTTCTTCAGATTTATACAATACTGAATCCTTAAGTGTAACATTTAGACACTGGCTTACCTTCTTGGAGGTGTTGAGGGTTGTTGGTGCATAGTTTCCTCATTCCTAGAGGTAGTAGGTGCAGGAGGAGCACAAAGACTGCAGCTAGGATCTTCAGCTCCACATGCACACTCCTGAGATGCTGCAGTAACTGAGCCCCTAGCATTATTGCAAGTAGGTAGTGTTTCCCCAACAACTCTGACCTCAGTGCCACGGTTAAGATCATTCAGAGGTTGTACTGGTGGATAGTAGGGAGGAGGAAGATCATCTGGGATACCATCTGCATCTTCATATACTTCATCAGATCTAAGTGTAATCTGTCCTCCCTTGGCACCTTCAGAGGCGACGTTATGAGGTGCATGTGAGGAAGAGCAGGGCCTCCTAAAGCTGCCACCAATGGCACCAATCAGGGCTAAGGCCCCTCCGTTGTTATCTGACGATTCACCAGGTGGTGGTCCAAGTTGTACCATGAGTGGGCCCAGTGAAGGCAGAGAATTACTGGCCTCTGGTAATCTATATGACCTACCCACCACTTCACTATAGGGTGGTGGAGCATCCTCATGTGAAAAATAAAATGAGGGAGGCTTCCACAGAGAATAAGGAGGTGTATGACCATCTAAAAATAAATCAACATGATCATTTCCATTGCAATATGCAGCATTATGGCAGCAAGCATTGTTGTGGCAAGAGTCAGGGTTGGGACCACTTGGAGAGTCTAACTGGTCTTCGTAATACTGCTGCTGAGCTGCAAGATTCAAAGTTGTATTTTAGTAAGTATTAAGCATTACTAACAATTTTTTCTATCAATCCTTTTCAATAATCTTACAACAGTGTACTATACAAAATGAAGGTATGTCACAGGTCTCATAAAATTTAAATGTTTTAATAACAAAAATTTATTTATTAGTACAGTTTTGCAGAGGACTTTGCACACAATTACAAAGTATATATGGCAATTTAATTTAAAATATGGAACTCTTCAATCTCTGATGACAATCCTTTAACATTACCAGTTTAACCTTACTGGTTTATGCAACTTCCTAGCAGGGCTCGATTTATCCATCTCTTTTTTTAAACTTCCTCTTTAAACAGGTTATTGTATCACCTTTTACACTAATACCTCCTTCAGATCTATGGGAAACCACTTACAAACAGTACTGCAAATGTCCCTGCAACAAAATTTTTCTAAAATCATTACATATTCGCTATCATGATTAATAATTTCCAGTAGTCGTAACAATTTAACACTATCAATACCACTTTATTGCTACATAACCTAGCCACTGAGGGAGCCTGGGGATAGGTAATGACTAAAAGATAAAAGATTTCAACTTCATCAGTAATGTTTCTCATACACTGCTATAAGTAAAACCTCAGTTTATTATTCAGTTTTTCTATATTAGTGAAGGTACTATAACTATTTTGTCATTTCCTTTTTTATATATATATTTCAGCTCCAGATTACTTTTGCTTGAAATTTCATTTTTTCCCCCCCACAAATCCCTAGTAAATCCCCAGAAAACTTGGCGATATTTTTTTGAGATGAACACTACCTCTGTAATAATCACACCACAAACCTCTTATCCGACGCTGTCTCAGCCTGTGTATAAGAAACAGAAGTAGAGCAAGGGAAAGTATTGCAGTCACAGCAGAAGCAACCATACGGAGCCCTAGGTCTGTGGATGGGTTGTTTCCACCGCCACCCGGCAGGTGAGGAAGCATATTATCCAGACATATGAAGTCACAGCATGTGCGTCCCAAGCGAAAGGACTTACAATCCTGTTTATAAAAAAAAAATATATTAGAAATTTCAAATTAAAATGCTTGCATTACACAAAGCATAATGCTTAATAAATTAAGATTATGAGGCTCTCTCATAAAATGCAACATTTTTTCCATCAGAATCTCTTTTCAAATGCCATCACATTTGAAGTTTTTCAAATGGTTAATTAACTCCTTAACTGCACACACAGAAATTACAATTCACACATGTGGCAAGATTTTGAAAAATAATTTTTTTTTCTTACAGATTGAAAGTGCAGTTTTATAAAGTAAATAAGACTAAAATGAGTGGGATCCGATTAAAAAAACTTACAATTTTATAGTGTGAAGTCAGTTAAAAAATTATCACCAGTCAGCAACAGCAGCATAAATGTGCCATCTTTTACAATTTACTGATGTTAAATTATGATTGTTTTTCAATTTTTTGTTTTCTGAATGTGCACTACTTTTTTAATGATACTGGATGTTTCAAGGTATTTTAGTACTTCTAACGTGGGAATACGAATATCATAATGCTGCTCCACACAGAAAATACAGTACAGTATAAATTGGAGGAAACAGTTTTTTCAAATTTTTCCTTTATCACTATTTATAACGAATACTTATAATAGCACAACTGTTGCAAGGCATGGATATACATCAGACTGTTTGACTATACTGTATTGGGTTATCCTTGGGTCATTACAGTATTTATGTTATATATTCATCCTTCATACATCCACTGACGTGTCAGCGGATGGATGTATGAAGGACGAGGTTAACCATAGAATTGATGAAGGAAAAAAGGCGAGTAGTGCATTGAGGTATATTCTTTCTTTCAACACACCGGTCATATCCCACCAAGGCAGGGTGGCCCAAAAAGAAAAAGGAAAGTTTCTCTTTTAAATTTAGTAATTTATACGGGAGAAGGGGTTACTAGCCCCTTGCTCCCGGCATTTTTAGTCGCCTCTTACAACGCATGGCTTACGGAGGAAGAATTCTGTTCCACTTCCCCATGGAGATAAGAGGAAACAAACAAGAACTAGAAAGAAAATAGAAGAATACCCAGAGGGGTGTGTATATATATGCTTGTACAGTGGACCCCCGGTTAACGATATTTTTTCAATCCAGAAGTATGTTCAGGTGCCAGTACTGACCGAATTTGTTCCCATAAGGAATATTGTGAAGTAGATTAGTCCATTTCAGACCCCCAAACATACACGTACAAACGCACTTACATAAATACACTTACATAATTGGTCGCATTCGGAGGTGATCGTTATGCGGGGGTCCACTGTATATGTATGTGTAGTGTGACCTAAGTGCAAGTAGAAGTAGCAAGACATAATTGCGGTATATGTGGAGACAAAAAACATTATCTATGGAGGCAAAGAAGGGACTGTATGAAAGTATAGTGGTACCAACACTCTTATATGGTGTGAAGCTTGGGTTGTAAATGCTGCAGTGAGGAGGCGGTTGGAGGCGGTGGAGATGTCCTGTCTAAGGGCAATGTGTGGTGTAAATATTATGCAGAAAATTTGGAGTGTGGAAATTAGGAGAAGGTGTGGAGTTAATAAAAGTATTAGCCAGAGGGCTGAAGAGGGGTTGTTGAGGTGGTTTGGTCATTTAGAGAGAATGAATCAAAGTAGAATGACATGGTGAGCGTATAAATCTGTAGGGGAAGGAAGGCGGGATAGGGGTCGTCCTCGAAAAGGTTGGAGGGAGGGGGTAAAGGAGGTTTTGTGGGCGAGGGGCTTGGACTTCCAGCAAGCATGCATGAGCGTGTATTTGGGACCTGATGAGCTGTTGGAGTGTGAGCAGGGTAATATTTAGTGAAGGGATTCAGGGAAACCGGTTATTTTTATATAGCCGGACTTGAGTACTGGGAACAGGAAGTACAATGCCTGCACTTTAAAGGAGGGGTTTGGGATATTGGCAGTTTGGAGGGATATGTTGTGTATCTTTATACGTATATGCTTCTAAACTGTTATGTTCTGGGCACCTCTGCAAAAACAGGGATTATGTATGAGTGAGGTGAAAGTGTTGAATGATGATGAAAGTATTTTCTTTTTTGGTATTTTCTTTCTTTCTTTTTGGGTCATCCTGCCTATATGGGAGACGGCCAACTTGTTAAAAAAAAAAAAAATTCAGGGGTCATCCTAGGAAAGGATGGAGGGAGGGAGGGAGGGGGGTAAAAGAGGTTATGTGTACGAGGGGCTTGGACATGCAGCAGGCATATGTGAGCATGTTAGATAGAAAGGAATGGAGTCGAATGGTTTTTGGGATGTGATGAGCTGTTGGAGTGTGAGCAGGGTAATATTTTGTGAAAGGATTCAGGGAAACCGGTTAGCCGGACTCGAGTCCTGGAGGTGGGAAGTACAGTTCCTTGAACTTTAACCCTTAAACTGTCCAAGCAGATCTACGTTCACATGCGTAGTGCTCCAAAGTTAGATTTATGTTTTTTTTACATATTTTCAAATATAACAAAAAAAAAACGTAGATCAAAGTTTTTTTTTTTACACTTTTTCAAATGCAAAAAAAGAAAAGAAGATCTACTTTTTCTACATACTTTCAAATGTTGAAAAAACGTAAATCTACGTTTGGACAGTTTAAGGGTTAAAGGAGGGGTTTGGGATCTTGGTTATTTGGAGTGACATCTTAACTGTCGTATCTGGGCACCTATGCAAAGACAGTGATTAAGTGTGAATAATGGTGAAAGTTTCTTTTTTGGGTCACCCTGCCTCAGTGGAAGACAAAAGAATACAGGTTGAAGGGAATATCATGAGTTACATAAACAGTGGAATTTCTATGTGCCTTCCAACCCATAATATATTTACAAGGAAATCTTACTATATTTCAACTGTTTCAAGTTGTAATACTTATGGAAAATGGAAATAAGTCACACTGTTTGACTATATTGGGTTTACATGGTTAAATCTACAAGGTATGCTTACTGGCTGTCCATTGCTACTATCAAGAAATTGTAATAAATTTGGAATGAACACGTCATCTTCCTGGCAGTTCCACACACTGTTTGCTATAAGGAAGTTGGTGGTGGAATATAAGGTCTTGGTTTCATTGTTTACTTATGCTAAATAGGCAAGTTACCCCTATGGTGCATTGCATGGACCTGCCTGGTCTTAGATTTTTTTCAAAGGTATGATTAGGATGTATGTACCAGACTCAAAAATATTGCAGGTGGCATACATGAAGGCACAAAAATTTGTACACACATATTAGTACGTATGTTGGACAGTCACCACCTGTGTACGAGTATGCTGAACACAGTTAAAAGGTTAAAATTATTTCAGAGAGCTGGTTTTTGCAATTTTGAGTACTACTTTATTTAAAAAAGGCTTCAATATAGATATACCATGTTATACTAAGCCAACATGCCAGATACCCCACTGAACTCTCAGGAGAGGATGTGGGGGCTTAGATTAGTGGTTTAGTACATCACTAGTATTACAAAGGTTGCAATTCCTATAAGAGATACCCTCCACAGAATTTAGATTCTAAAATACCCCAAAGGAAATAAGTCACTTCGACTTTTCTTTAGGTTATCCTAGGTAACTTACACTGTGTGTGATAACTGTACTTACGTGTACCTGTGCCTAAATAAACTTACTATACCTAACTTTCTGAATAAAAAAAAAAAAATTTAATTTCTAGCAGGTTTGCTGAATATATTAATGACATAGCAAAAGCTTTCATACAACTTGACAGATAATCTTATCTTTGGCAGATCACTTTACCTTTAACTTTGGCCTAACTAATGAAGGTGGTTACCAGCCTAGTCAGGTCCACAGGTGTGCTAAAATAGCTGCTTTTCTTTGGAAAATTACTTCAAATAGGGAAGGGTTATGATGGGAAAAGAGATGAGCAAATGCATGGTGGTAGTTATTATCAAAGACTATTTCAAGAAGTGTCAAACCTGTATGTATCATTCAGTGCACATGAGGAAAAGAAAGGGAAATAGGAGAAAAATGGGGAATGAAGAATGCAATGTAGGATGCCTAGATCTTCATGTGAGAGGCACACATTATGTTAATCACAAAAAAAGCCACTGAATTATACAAAAAAAATATACAGTACAGTAAACTCTCCATTTAATGGACCTTGAAAATCTGCTAGGTTAATAGATTTAGAAACAATGGATAAAGCCCGTTGGTTGTAGAATTGTTTATTACAATTATGGCAGAGTAATTTTTTCTATATCCACCATAACTGCCATTAGTGGCTCCCCCCACTTCTCCCAATTAGTCTGTTAAACAGAAGGTGTATTGCACTGGCCAGCAAGAAACAAATAGGAGCGAGGACCAAATGAAACCACAAAAAAGTGGTGGTGCAAAATGCATATATTGGAATGAAACAAAACAGGTCACACTCATCAGATTCAAAACTATAATTAATACAGTTAATCCCTCAACACTACAGTAGCTAACATTACTGGGTGGAACAAGAGCACAAACACCATAGAAGCTACAAAATGAGCCAAGAAATACATCATGGGAAAAATTTACTCAGCAGTTGTGAAGGAAATTATATTCCTCAAGCACGCTTATTATTCTACATACTTGCGGTGGTTGACAGAGTACAGCTTGGCAGACACGAGGTTTGCCTTCATCACATTTGCAAACAGTACAATAGTCTGGACCAGGGACATATGTCTCCCCATTGGGAATACGCTCTCCATCCAGCGCGATACATTCCCATGAAGATACAGCCCCTATGAAATATGATATAGACTTAAGATATGAAAGCTAAAAGTTTTATACTAAAAAATAAAAAAAAAACTGATGCACCATGCAAACTTTAGTCATCCGAAAACTCTGTTAATGTGATCCAGGATGTAAATACAGCATTAACTCAAAAGGCAATATAAATAAAAAAATACATTATATCCCACATAGCTCACCACAAATCAATTTTTTATCACAACTAATATGCTGTAATCTCTCAAACAGTATACAGCTTTATGTACCTGGGTAAGCTATCCCAGGAATGTTCCATTGGTTGTCCTCCTCCTTCGGGGTTAAGAGGCAGTGCACAATATCTGAATAAAATGTCAGTTGGATTTTCCTATAAATTTGGAATTTATTATCAAGTCAGTAGTCCAACACACACAGCATTCAGCATAAATGAACCTTTCTCTATATATAAAAGTCAACTTTAGATAGTTTCCTTATCACCATAAATATGATGGGAAATGTTTAAAGTTCCTTAATTATTAGTCATAGAACTATATTAGTAAAATGAATAATTTGACAAGTGGATTATGAGGCATAAGAATTTTTGAGCAATTAATTATCCAGTCTAGCATCTTACAAGAAAAATTCATCCTGTCAGAGAAAAATAAAAAATGGAGTAATTAAAAAATACTATAAATGGTTATACTGTATGTAATATCACAAATGTTTGGCAACACCCAAAGGTTAAATTTATGCAAAAAATACAAGTGATAAAAGTGTAACTATAGAATTAATTTACCTAAACTAATCTTAACCCTTAAACTGTCCAAACACAGATCTACATTCACATGTGTAGCGCTCCGAATGTAGGTCTATGTTATATTTTACATGCTTTTAAATGTAAAAAAAAAACGTAGATCTTCATTCGGAGCACTATGCATGTGACCGTAGATCTATGTTTGGACAGTTTAAGGGTTAAAGACTGGATATTCAGTAACCAAGAAAAATCTTTTCAGCCGTGATATTGCAATAAAACAAAATCTGCTGACAAAGAGTACAGTAATGATCTATTTTGTAGGATCTAGAGACATAATGAATGTAAACTTATATATTTCACAAAGTAGTAAACCAGTGTGGTTAATTCAGAATAAGTAGTGAAGGCTCAATCCTCCATCTGCTAATCATAGCCCAGTATATGCAAAGTCAGGTTACTAGGATGTTTTTATAACAACACATGCAGATAAACAATGACTTATAGATCCTGTACTTTCTATAAGACTAGTCCATCTGTCCTGTTTATCTGTCCATGTCTTCTTGAATTTATATAGTGTAATAATTTATCAAGTTATGCACTTCCTTTTACAGTGTCACAACAATCAACATAGTAACATGTTAAATAATTTTAACTTCAATATTTTTTAAAGTAAGAGCACCGTGTTTATCAACAATAAAGCAATGTCAAGTAGGTCTTTCATACAGCATAAAATTTTCTTTGAGAATTCATCATTCTCAACCTAGATTAATTTAATTTCAATTTTTGCAATACCTTTGATGTTAAAACCTACTGATCTCTAATTCAGCTAATCAGTAAAATGAGAAATCATGTCAACAAATATACAGTTTTTAGTTTAATATCTTTATTATGAACCCCATACCCACCTTGTGGGGGCTAGTCGAAAGATTACGGAGGTACATAATGGGTCCAGGGACTGGGCCCCAAAGTTTTGATAGCTGAATATGTTACAAAGGTAATGAACTCCAGGTAGATCTGGTCACAATCATGACCAAGTTACAAAGATAATGAATCATCTACATGTGGTTAAATCATGAGCAAATTACGAAGTAATGAGCCATTCACATGTCCACATCTGGTAACAACTGTAATGAGTTATTAGTGCAAATATTAATTGGATCTCTCTCTCTATCTCACACACACACAAAGAGAGAGAGAGAGAGAGAGAGAGAGAGAGAGAGAGAGAGAGAGAGAGAGAGAGAGAGAGAGAGGAGAAGAAGAGAGAGAGAGAGAGAGAGAGAGAGGAGAGAGAGAAGAGAGAGAGAGAGAAGAGAAGGAGAGAGAGAGAGAGAGAGAGAGAGAGAGAGAGAGAGGAGAGAGGAGAGAGAGAGAGAGAGAGAGAGAGAGGAGAAGAGAGAGAGAGAGAGAGAGAAGAGGGAGGAGAGAGAGAGAGAGAGAGAGAGAGAGAGAGAGAGAGAGAGGGAGAGAGAGAGAGAGAGAGAGAGAGAGAGAGAGAGAGAGAGAGAGAGAGAGAGAGAGAGAGAGAGAGAGAGAGAGAGAGAGAGAGAGAGAGAGAGAGAGAGAGAGAGAGAGAGAGAGAGAGAGAGAGAGAGAGAGAGAGAGAGAGAGAGAGAGAGAGAGAGAGAGAAGAGAGAGAGAGAGAGAGAGAGAGAGAGAGAGAGAGAGAGAGAGAGAGAGAAGGGTGATAACAACAGTCATGGCACGTGACGAGGTATCAGAGTGGGCACCTGAGACGAGTGGGGTTCCACAGGGGTCAGTCCTAGGGCCAGTGCTCTTTTTGGTATATGTGAATGACATGATAATCATCTGTAAACAGGGATACACTCAGTAGTGTCCCTGTTTGCAGATGATGTGAAGTTAATGAGGAGAATTCAATCGAATGAGAATCAAGCAGGACTACAAAGAGACCTGGACAGGATGCAAGCCTGGTTCAGTAACTGGCTCCTCGAATTTAACCCCGCGAAATGCAAAGTCATGAAGATCAGGAAAGGGCAAAGAAGACTGCAGATAGAGTATAGGCTAGGTGGCCAAAGACTGCAAACCTCACTCAAGGAAAAGGATCTTGGGGTGAGTATAATACCGAGCACATCTCCTGAGGTGCACATCAACCAGATAACTGCTGCAGCATATGAGCGCCTGGCAAACCTGAGAACAGCATTTTGATACCTTGGTAAGGAATCATTCAAGACGCTGTACACTGTGTATATTGGGCCCACGCTAGAGTATGCAGCACCAGTTTGGAACCCATACCTGGTCAAGCACATCAAGAAATTAGAAAAAGTGCAAAAGTTTGCAACAAGACTAGTTCCGGAGCTAAGGGAAATGTCCTATGAAGAAAGGTTAAGAGAAATCAGCCTAACAACACTGGAGGACAGGAGGGTCAGGGGAGACACGATAACATACAAAATACTGTGAGGAATTGACAAGGTGGACAGAGATAGGACGTTCCAGAGATGGGATACAGAAACAAGGGGTCACAATTGGAAGTTGAAGACTCAGATGAGTCAAAGGGATGTTAGGAAGTACTTCTTTAGTCATAGAGTTGTCAGGAAGTGAAATAGTCTGGGAAGTGATGTAGTTGAGGCAGGAACCACACACAGTTTTAAGATGAGGTTTGATAAAGCTCATGGAGCAGAGAGAAGACCTAGTAGCGATTAGTGAAGAGGCATGGCCAGGAGCTGTGACTCGATCCCTGCAATCACAAGTAGGCGAGTACAAATAGGCGAGTACACACGAGTGCACACACACACACACATGCACGCAACCACACACACGCAACTGCACACACACACACGCAACCGCGCGCACACACACGCAACCACGCGCACACACGCACAACCTCGCTCACACACGCGCAACCGTGCACACACACACACGCAACCACGCACACACACACACGACCGCGCATACGCGCGCGCACACACACACGACCACGCATACGCTCGCACACACACACACACACGCGCGCACATGCACACACACACGCGCGCACACGCACGCACACGCGTGCGCACACACACACACACACACACACACACACACACACACACACACACACACACACACAGCAGTAAGACAGAGAGAGGGGTGGGTGGACTGCATATTCTTGGACTGCAAGAAGGCGTTTGACAGTTCCACACAAGAGATTAGTGCAAAAACTGGAGGACCAAGCAGGGATAACAGGGAAGGCACTACAATGGATCAGGGAATACTTGTCAGGAAGACAGCAGCGAGTCATGGTACGTGGCGAGGTTTCAGAGTGGGCACCTGTGACCAGCAGGGTCCCACAGGGGTCAGTCCTAGGACCAGTGCTGTTTCTGGTATTTGTGACCGACATGACGGAAGGAATAGTCTCCGAAGTGTCCCTGTTTGCAGATAACGTGAAGTTGATGAGAAGCATACATTCGATCGAAGACCAGGCAGAACTACAAAGGGATCTGGACAGGCTGTAGACCTGGTCCAGCAATTGGCTCCTGGAGTTCAACCCCACCAAGTGCAAAGTCATGAAGATTGGGGATGGGCAAAGAAGACAGCAGACGGAGTACAATCTAGGAGGCCAGAGACTACAAACCTCACTCAAGGAAAAAGATCTTGGGGTGAGTATAACACCAGGCACATCTCCTGAAGCGCACATCAACCAAATAACTGCTGCAGCATATGGGCGCTTAGCAAACCTCAGAACAGCATTCCGACATCTTAATAAGGAATCGTTCAGGACCCTGTACACCATGTACGTTAGGACCATATTGGAGTATGCGGCACCAGTTTGGAAACCCACACCTAGCCAAGCACGTAAAGAAACTAGATAAAGCGCAAAGGTTTGCAACAAGACTAGTCCCAGAGCTAAAAGGTATGTCCTACGAGGAGAGGTTAAGGGAAATCAACCTGACGACACTGGAGGACAGGAGAGATAGGGGGGACATGATAACGACATACAAAATATTGAGAGGAATTGACAAGGTGAACAAAGACAGGATGTTCCAGAGATAGGACACAGCAACAAGGGGACACAGTTGGAAGTTGAAGACACAGATGAATCACAGGGATGTTAGGAAGTATTTCTTCAGCCACAGAGTAGTCAGGAAGTGGAATAGTTTGGGAAGCGATGTAGTGGAGGCAGGATCCATACATAGCTTTAAGCAGAGGTATGATAAAGCTCACAGTTCAGGGGGAGTGACCTAGTAGCGACCAGTGAAGAGCCGGGGCCAGGAGCTTGGACTCGACCCCTGCAACCTCAACTAGGTGAGTACACGCACAAGACTGCACACGCACACACACACACACACAGGGCCAGGAGCTCAGTCTCGACCCCTGCAACCACAATTAGGTGAGTACACACACGGCCCCACACACACACACACACACACACACACACACACACACACAGAGGAGCTGTGACTCAACCCCTGCAACCACAACTAGGCGAGTACACATGCACACACTCAAGTACACACCCAAGCACACCACATACACACACACACACACATATACACACACACACATGGTAATCCTTTATTTAACGTGAACGGTCTGGATATTTTTCCAGAATGGTTTATAGTATACCACTGTGGATAAAATACTTTGCCATTTCTTGAACATTTCTTAGTGAATTGTCTCTGAATTCATTAATTTTATCGCAGTAATGCTACATGAAAATCTAAGCTACACTTTTGAGTTAATGATAGTGTTTAATGATGTTCATTATACTTGTGGGGAACAAGGAAAAGAAAAAAAAAAAGTTTCAAGACTTACACATTAATGTTCCACGATCTTATTGTGCCAACTGAACTATTACTTTTTCCCAGGGGTTATTTGGCACATAATTTTATAACAAATGTGTAGAGAGCAAGTAGAAAAACATAATAACCAATTATTTTTAGCTACTGATAATTTTTAGTGGAGCAGTCTGCAAGCCACTTAATCTGTGCCAGCATACATCAAAGAAGTATTTGACTCATTGCTATGCAATGTCTACTTTAACTACCTACTTGACACTCATGCATGAGATATGCCCATTGCTCTCAGGTACATCATTTACCAACTTGCAATCTACCTACCTGGAAAAGGTGATGGCAAGTTGCATTTGCTTTTGAGAAAATATAAATGATGATGATCTCAAGACAGTATTATACTACTACTGGAGTGATGTAAGAATTAATGGAAAAAATCTTTGCACTAAGCAATGAAGTTTATACAATGGAAAAGGGAATGAACAGGTGAATTTTAATCACAATGATTATGAAAATACTGTATGTGTAACAAATCTTGAAAGCAGCACTAAATCACTTTTGGACTGGCTGACCAAAAAATATTACAGTGCTATGCAAGGAAACTAATCTCTCACCTCAACCCTGCATGACTGGATGTATCCTCAGGAATATGTAATGACAAACTGATATTGGTAGCCTTACTTGTAGTATTTACAAGGCCAATGTTCAAGGTTTTCCACCCGGCCATACTCTGGACAACCCAAAGTTAGCTAGCACACCAAATAGCAGGGAGCTACAAACAGTTTCACTCTAGTTGTACAACTCTTCTCAAGGACATCACACCATCAGCAATCATTCATTTCTTGGCTAACTAATGCTCATACAGGTTTTCTCAACATACGGACACTGAACAAATGAAGTCAAATGAAAGCTCTGCCCCAGAGCTGTCTTTTAACTTAACCTTACATGTATGCTGCCTAATATTAAATAAAGAAATAAAAATACTGCTAGTGCCGTTCTCTGAAATGAATAAAGGCAGAATAACAGCTCTTAGCTTGTAACAAATGTAAGCCTAACTCCTGCAAGTCTTGAGTATTAAAAACAACACACAAATTTCCTTAATATTCTGAGGTTTAAGGAACTGTGTAGCACAAAATAGTGAAGGAAAAGAAAGAACAGCAATCTACTACCTTAAAATATGTCAATCTAGAAAAATAAACCATACATACTGTATCTTATTGGCATGGTAGTCCTATACGTATTTAGGTGGGTAAAATAATGTACCTGTGTTCAAATTCTGATTCTTCTTAAAATGCATTTTTCCTCACCTGCTCCTTGGACAACAAAGTACAGAAGCAGGATGTTTAGCATGATCACACCATTGTCACCAACATCTGCAACATGACAAATTCAAATAATTAAACTTAAGTCTATAAATAACATACAATTTCCTTCACATTAAACTTCAAAAGCATATAAATATTTAACTTGCAAAATCTCAAAATGCAATTATAGTAAGTCAGAACTGAGTGACTAAAGACATAACAATTCAAAGTACTACTTTTAAAAGAAATAAAACCATATCTGAATTATATAGCTTGTCATTAGAAAACAGGGTGCATAAAAAAGCATACTTGATATCTGCAGTGTAGGTTGTTGGGGGCTATGCTGCGTATAAACAAAATTTAATTTTGTCACCCTTAAAGTTAAAAATTTAAAAAAAAAAATGGGGATTAGTTTATTTTTTGAGATTCTGATATGCATGCATGTTTGTGTTATCATACAACCAAGCACTCATTAGAATGCAACACATGCAGGAGACATTATTAGGGTAATCCTGATTAAAGAAAATATTCTTTCACATAATTATCGCTAAATAAAATTACCTGCAATACATTCATTATAACAAAGTATGAAACAGTCGTTGTAAAAACTAAAGATGATAAGCAAATGAAAATAACTATATTACTATATACTACATTCATTAGGGGGGTGAAGTGCTAAACCCATGGTGGTCATACAGTGCCTAGGGAGGAATGATAGACATTCAAGTTTGATACAAGTTAGGGGAGCACAGGTCCAATTCCTTGGATCAAAAGCTCCCCACCGGCTTCAAGGAACCTCCCTTTACAGGAGGTAAATTGTACCACTATTAAGACATGATAGTTTTACCAGTCTTAAATAGAGGTAGCATCAATGAGGACAAGGGGAGCTGAAACCCCTCAATTTTTCCCAGACCCCCCAAATCCCCCAATAAAAGCAACAACCTGGCTTCAAGACAAGTCCCCTATCCCCTTCCAAGCATATTGCCACCCCAAAGCCCCTCCTATGTAGAAAGTGTAGAGCTGCCCTAATCATATACTTTTTATTATCACACTGGCCGATTCCCACCAAGGAAGGGTGGCCCGAAAAAGAAAAACTTTCACCATCATTCACTCCATCACTGTCTTGCCAGAAGGGTGCTTTACGCTACAGTTTTTAAACTGCAACATTAACACCCCTCCTTCAGAGTGCAGGCACTGTACTTCCCATCTCCAGGACTCAAGTCCGGCCTGCCGGTTTCCCTGAATCCCTTCATAAATGTTACTTTGCTCACACTCCAACAGCACGTCAAGTATTAAAAACCATTTGTCTCCATTCACTCCTATCAAACACTCTCACGCATGCTGCTGGAAGTCCAAGCCCCTCGCACACAAAATTCCTTTACCCCTCCCTCCAACCTTTCCTAGGCCGACCCCTACCCCGCCTTCCTTCCACTACAGACTGATACACTCTTTGAAGTCATTCTGTTTCGCTTCATTCTCTCTACTGTCCGAACCACCACAACAACCCTTCCTCAGCCCTCTGGACAACAGTTTTGGTAATCCGCACCTCCTCCTAACTTCCAAAACTACGAATATCTCTGCATTATATTCACACCACACATTACCCTCAGACATGACATCTCCACTGCCTCCAGCCTTCTCCTTGCTGCAACATTCATCACCATGCTTCACACCATATAAGAGCGTGGTATAAACTATACTCTCATACATTCCCCTTTGCTCCAAGGACAAAGTTCTTTGTCTCACAGACTCTAAGTGCACCACTCACCCTTTTCCCCTCATCAATTCTATGATTCACCTCATCTTTCATAGACCCATCCGCTGACACGTCCACTACAAATATCTGAATACATTCACCTCTCCATAATCTCTCCCTCCAATCTGATATCCAGTCTTTCATCACCTAATCTTTTTGTTATTCTCATAACCTACTCTTTCTGTATTCCTTTTAATTCTTTCTTTGCCACCTCTACCAAATTCATCCCAATCTCTGCAACTTCTCTCAGAATCTCCCAAGAGCACAGTATCATCAGCAAAGAGCAACTGTGACAACTCCACTTTATGTGTGATTCTTTATCTTTTAACTCCACGCCTCTTCCAAGACCCTCGCATTTACTTCTCTTACAACCCCATCTATAAATATATTAAACAACCACGGTGACATCACACATCCTTGTCTAAGGCCTACTTTTACTGGGAAATAATCTCCCTCTTTCCACATACTCTAACTTGAGCCTCACTATCTCGTAAAAACTCTTCATGCTTTCAGCAACCTACTCCTACACCATACACCTGCAACATCTGCCACATTGCCCCCTATCCACCCTGTTATACGCCTTTTCCAAATCCATAAATGCCACAAAGACCTCTTTAGCCTTATCTAAATACTGTTCACTTATATGTTTCACTGTAAACACTGGTCCCACACCCCCTGCCTTTCCTAAAGCCTCCTTGTTCATCTGCTATCCTATTCTCCATCTTACTCTTAATTCTTTCAATAATAACTCTGCCATACACTTTACCAGGTATACTCAACAGACTTATCCCCCTATAATTTTTGCACTCTCTTTTGTCCCCTTTGCCTTTATACAAAGGAACTATGCATTGCTCTCTGCCAATCCTAGGTACCTTACCTCTTCCATACATTTATTAAATAATTGCACAACCACTCCAAACTATATCCCCACCTGCTTTTAACATTTCTATCTTTATCCCATCAATCCCGGCTGCCTTACCCCCTTTCATTTTACCTACTGCCACACGAACTTCCCCCACACTCACAACTGGCTCTTCCTCACTCCTACAAGATGTTATTCCTCCTTGCCTATACACGAAATCACAGCTTCCCTATCTTCATCAACATTTAACAATTCCTCAAAAATATTCCCTCCATCTTCCCAATACCTCTAACTCTCCATTTAATAACTCTCTCTCCTATTTTTAACTGACAAATCCATTTGTTCTCTAGGCTTCCTTAACTTGTTAATCTCACTCCAAAACTTTTTCTTATTTTCAACAAATTTGTTGATAACATCTCACCCACTCTCTCATTTGCTCTCTTTTTACATTGCTTCACCACTCTCTTAACCTCTCTCTTTTTCTCCATATATCTTCCCTCCTTGCATCACTTCTACTTTGTAAAAACTTCTCATATGCTAACTTTTTCTCCCTTACTACTCTCTTTATATCATCATTCCACCAATCGCTCCTCTTCCCTCCCGCACCACTTTCCTGTAACCACAAACTTCTGCTGAACACTCTAACACTACATTTTTAAACCTACACCATACCTCTTCAACCCCATTGCCTATGCTCTCATTAGCCCATCTATCCTCCAATAGCTGTTTATATCTTACCCTAACTGCCTCCTCTTTTAGTTTATAAACCTTCACCTCTCTCTTCCCTGATGCTTCTATTCTCCTTGTATACCATCTACCTTTTACTCTCAGTGTAGCTACAACTAGAAAGTGATCTGATATATCTGTGGCCCCTCTATAAACATGTACATCCTGAAGTCTACTCAACAGTCTTATATCTACCAATACATAATCCAACAAACTACTGTCATTTTGCCCTACATCATATACATATATTGTAAAACTAAGGGTGTGGGTTAAGACTTACCCATACCAGTACAATATACGGTATATACTGCACATCAACCTCTCTAAAGTGGTTTTACGTTATGCCACACCATGTTATCTCTTTCAAAATAACGTCATTAGTTTTAGCCTTGCTGCTGCTGCTGCCTGAAATACTGTGAATTATGGGCTTTCAGAGTATCATAATTAATTGAAATCTACCTAAATAACTCCCAGTAAAGCGTACTAAATGAACAGTGGACCCTGGTTTTGGGCCGGGTCTGAAATCGGAAAATTTGGAAATCAACCCCTTTTTTGGGAAAAATTCCCCCCCCAGTTTTTGGGCCCATCGCTTGGGAAATTGTTGGTATGAATGCGCCCCACCTCCCGGGCGACACATTTCCTCATGCTATCCACCCCGTCCCCGTCTTGTTGGGTGGGAATACAGTGGCCCCCCCGAACCTTGGCATCACAAAAACGTTAAATCTCATACCGATAATTTATCGCAAATTTTTGCCTCGATCCGCAAAAAACCCCCTCAGCGCATTTGCCGAGATGCGTCAATGGGGCCTGACCCACCCTCACATGTTCCGCCAGGGTATTGTTTCCCAGCCAGCCTCGTGGAAACACCAAGCTCAATCGGAACATTTCGTTTTATTACAGTTTTTTTGTGATTTTTTTGAAAAATAATGACCAGGGGCCCCCAAAAAACTTTATGCCAACCTACAGGAATAAGGGTGAAAATTTACTTAGAGTGAAAAAAGAGATCATGCAAATTAAAAAGTGGAGGGTGTCTCCGGCGGGCCAGGTTGAATATAAACCCCATAAACAATCGCTACTATTTGCCCAAAAAAAGGGCAATAAAGGGAACTGTTTTTCCCAAAGGTTCAACTGTGTTTTCAAAACAGGATCAAAAGTATGAAGATTTTAGAGACTCTTATTGGTGTGGATAAATGAAAAAAAGTAGCAGGAGATACATCTCTCAAGTGTATATGTGAAAAAAGGCTGGGAAATTTTGGGGGTTTTAATTAAAAAAAATCGCAACTGTGAGGTGTAAGTGAATTTAAGGCCAGCAAAGATTGGTTTGAGAGTTTTAAAGAAGCGTAGTGGCATACATAGTGTGATAAGGCATGGTGAGGCTGCAGTTGGGGACCACAAAGCAGCTGAAAAATATGTGCAGGAATTCAAGGAGTACATGACCAGTGAGGGACTGAAACCTGAACAAGTGTTTAATTGTGATAAACGGGCCCTTTTTTGGGAAGAAAATGACAAGCAGGACCTACATTATCAGGGGGAAAAAGGCACCCCCAGGACATAAGCTACGAAAGACAGGCTTACTCTTCTCATGTGTTCCAATGCTAGTGGCGATTGCAAAGTGAAGCCTTTATTAGTGTATCACTCTGAAACTTCCAGAGCGTTCAGGCAAAAGAATATCCTCAAGGCTAATTTGTGTGTGCTATGGAGGGCAAACAGTAAGGCATGGGTCACTAGGGACTTTTTCTATGACTGGTTACACCAAGCATTTGCCCCCAATGTGAAAAATTACCTAACTGAAAAGAAATTAGACCTTAAGTGCCTCCTGGTGTTAGACAATACCCCTGGTCATCCTACAGACGTGGCAGAGCGACTTTGTGGGGACATGAGCTTCATTAAGGTGAAGTTTTTGCCTCCTAATACCACTCCTCTCCTGCAGCCCATGGACCAGCAGGTTATTGCAAACTTCAAAAAACTGTACACAAAAGCTCTGTTTGAAAGGTGCTTTGTAGTGACCTCAGAAACTCAATTGACTAAGAGAGTTTTGGAGAGATCACTTTAATATCCTCAATTGTGTAAACCTTATAGGTAAGGCTTGTGAGGGAGTGACTAAGAGGACCTTGAACTCTGCTTGGAAGAAACTGTGCCAGAATGTGTAGACCAAAGGATTTTGAAGGGTTTGAGGCTAACCCTGGGAATCCTATGCCAGTTGAGGAATCCATTATAGCATTGGGAAAGTCCTTGGGGTTGGAGGTTAGTGGGGATGATGTGGAAGAGTTGGTGGAGGAGGACAATGAAGAACCAACCACTGATGAGCTGCTAGATCATCTTCATCAGCATGAGCCACACCTGAGGAAACTGGTTCGGAGGAGGGGAGAGAGAAATTGAAGAAGTTGCTACTTCAAGATTAAGGAAATGTGTGCAATGTGGCTTAAAGTGCAAACCTTTTTTGATGACAATCACCCTAACACAGCTATTGCAAGCTGTGCTGGTGACTATTACACTGACAATGTTGTGAACCACTTTA